CATAATGGGTATCAATTTAAAGCTCTTATGCTCTAGATGTGCCTTTTGCTGGTTTGGGTGAGGTATCCCATGAAAGCCCTTCGGCCTATAGGCTTTTAAAATTTCAGAGTTTGTGCTGAATTCTGTTGTCCATCATCTGAACTTTTTCAAGTTTATCGTTACTGTTGGTGATGTTTAAGAGAATTCAAGTAAAATATTGTAATGCTATTTGTTTTAATGTAAAGAAGAAAATTATTTACGTTAGATTTTTTGTATTTTCATAGTACATGTTTCATTAATTAGTATTTGTAATTTTTCTAAGATGCCTCGAAGAGATCGCGCACGCAATGAGAATGATAGGAACATGATGAGAAATAATCCTTTTCGCCCTTATCACATGTAAAATATATAACGGATTTTAAGGTCACCAAGTGACGCTGGCTGCTAGTCATTAATAACAAGAATATACAGCTCAAGGCAAAGCTATGGTATGAAGCGGGTAAAGTTTGGATTTAATAATAAAGTGAGTTATCATAAGACACAGGTGCCCTTGGCATAAGGAGGGTAATATGGCTCTGAGAAGAGGGGAGAGAGATGGGAAGATCCATATTGAATCACTCTGAGGGTAACTTTACAAGGGTTTATTTAAATTACAATACCTGCTGCACTGCTCAAGTATACAAACCTAAACAAAAATGTTGTAAATGATTTAATACCGCATTAATGTAAAAGAGCGTGTTGTTCTGTACAAACAACTTATTTGTTTTAAACTACAAAGTTACTTTGTACAAATATGATGGTAAACTAGGTTACTCGTTTGCTACAAAATGTGTAGCCTATAGGCTAATTAAACCTGTTGTAACGTTCGAAACTTTATATGTAGAAGGCTGCGGGTGACGTTCAATAAACGGAATTATTTATATGTTTTACGATTTCGAAATGTTATTTAATTTTTCATTTGACGATCAATTAAATTAATGCTACTACTGTATCTAAAAAGAGGTCAACGATAGGTGCTAGATTATTACGACCAGGTAGATGTCATTTAGCAAGCCGAAGCCAAAATGATCAATACCAGGACCGCAAATTTCTTTTTTTACTGTTTCCTTATAAAAAAATCCAAATGACGTTAATACATGCAAAATAATAAAAGTATGATGCAATTAATTGAAGATTTGAAATATGATTGAATGCCTAATCACATTGCAAAATATAATAAAATAAGAAATACAATTCTCTTTCTCTAAACAAACTCATAGTGGGTCCCGTTAAAAAAAAACTAACCATAAACTAAACGGAAATAATAAAATGTTTTGATTTATTTTATTAGAGTAACTAGCTGGCCCGACAGACGTCGTCCTGTCCTAATGTGGTTTTATGTCAAATGCTTGTTCATTTTCAATATCCTGGTTGAAATTCGTTCGCTACGCTCACTCACCTTTAGGTTGAAGTTCGTTCACTACGCTCACTCACCTTTTGGTTCCAAATTAGCTGTTGTCATAAATAAAAAAAAAATAATCGTGCTGCACCCTGTTGGTGAACTTATTAACTTTTTAATGCTATTGAACATCACAGAATCAAATTGCTTAGTTGTTCCAGCTGTTAAGACTCTTTAATGCCATTTAAATATGAGTACTCATAAGGTTAACATGGGAAACTCCAGAGCCACTGGGGTGGAGCCCTTTTGATGGATCTGCACCAAACTTCACACAAACCATCCTTTGAATAATGCTTAATAATGCCTGAAAGTTTCATTACAATCTGTCGGGCGGTTTCGGAGTCCATAAAGGACAAACAAACAAACATACATACATACAAACAAACATACATTGGATTTTATATTTAAAGGCTAACTGCTAAGTAAGGACAACATTGCAAATAGTGTGATGGGAGTAAAGTGAATACAAAACATAACAACAGCTGATCCACAGAACAAAACAGATGTGATTTGCGGTTCTGGTATTGATCATTTTGGCTTCGGCTCGCTAAACGACATTTTTCGTTCATCAAATGATCCGATTGCAGGTGATAAGATCCTGGTATGGGTAAAAATAGTCTGTACCATACTATCCTAGATGACATTTTCTACTCCAGTAGGTAGTCAAATAATTAAAATATGCAAGCTTACTAAACTACCTACATTACATTTTACACATCATATCATATCAATTAAATTAGGCCTATAAAAGCTTCCATATCGAAATATTCTACAACCTTCAGCTACCACATTACCAAATCTATTCCTGGACCTAAACATACAGTGCCAATGTTTAATCGAATCAACAAACTAAATTGAAACCGTCAACATAAACTCAGCGCCGAAATTCGCAAAATCTGAACGCAAACATAGATTCTCACGAACTTTGACCTGTCACCACCGCAGTATCAGCTGGAGATCCTAGCTGCACACTCATCAGCTGATAAGACAGACGTGCTACAAACAAGGCTGTGTTACGTTCCGAGAAAGGGAGTTCGCAGAACTTCAAAGAGTGTTTGTTTGGGTTAGAATGTTTGGGTTGCAAACTGATTATACTTGGAGTTTGGTTTGACATGTCTATTATCTACGATAGTTCTGTAAATTCACATTTGGAATAATTACTCACGCTTGATGTTTGCTCAAAGTCTTAAATATGAATACATTCGGATTTTAGGACACTTATTTTGTATAATTTCTACTTTGTAGCCTATTGCAAGCCAAAATAGAAATTTTATAGAAAGGATTCATCCACGCATGGTCCTGCAAAGTAATATCAATCGATTGTATCTGCCAAGGCTAACAAAAAGTTTTTAATATCTAAAATGATGGGTAGAATTGAAGCTCTTACCTTCAAACTGACTTTGGCTGATCCATTATGGGTTGTGAATCTATGAGAGTATAATATTTAACAACCATATGGCATACAGCATTACTTTGTGTTAAAATGTGCTTTATTTCTTCACGAGAAAGTAACCATTTCGATAGCAGTTGATATCAAAAGTAGTTTTTCCCAAACTTTAATTAAGAGCAAGGGTAAACCATCAGCTAACTTTTTCCTTGCTCTAAATTTGCCTTTCCTTGCTCTCAATCAATTATCCATTTGCCCACTGCGCTAGAGTGTTTGTGGTTTGTTTACAATTAATTTATATTGTTGAAATGAAATCAGCTGTTTTACTTTTTAACAATAAAAATGTAAACAGAAATGGGCATAAGCTAGTTATGGCTGTGTTTTAGCTTATAGTGGAGTTACTGCACGAAAACATAACCTTGAACATCTTATTTTACATTGTTATTTAGGTTTGCTTAACTGTTTTGATTATTTTTATAATTATGTTAAATAGGTAAAATAATAGTTTTAATTTTACTGAGGTCTGTTATTCTCTATGTTAGTTTGTTTGTGCTGTGATGAAAAGTATCGTGCACAAATTGTACCAATTTTACAGAACTTGCTAAAATTATTCCCATCCCCATACGTTTAAATTTAGCAGTGAAACTTGAGCGCACACAGTAAAATGCCACAATACTATTTCGAACACTTTACTCAACATTTTTCCATATTTACTGTAAACAAACTCAAATGGAAACTAAAAAAAATTGAAGATTCAAACACAGTAGCAGCAAGTTGGATTCTACATATATTCAAACAACAAACATGACATAACCTCAGACAAGGCAGATTCTGTTATCTCTACAGATTTACACCTGGCTCTCCTTGAGATAACAAATGACCTTGACAGGTTGACAACCTGACAGCTTATTGTCATAAGTCTGTGTAAACATTTACTTTCAGAACTCTTTTGGAGACGCAGTTCTGTGCAAGGCGAGATGAAAACTACAAGATGGCAGAAATAAAAGTAATTAACGCATAAGATATAAGGAAGCTGTAAACTAATTATTCATTTTTTTAACAGGTCTTTTCAAGAAGAGGGCCAAACTATTGAAATTTTCCGAATACAAAATGAAGGACAAGAGATGTAACCTAACTACCTAATGTAACCTAGCCTAATCTATCTTCTTAATTTTCTCGAGGTCAACTTTTGGCTTCATTCACTAACCATAGTAAACTTTAATCAAAATACTAAACCTGTTCTGAATTGTAATGTTCATAATAATTTAAAATCTTGTTTTATTCTTTAACATTAAGTTTTGAAATTAAATGAACAATAAACTAAGTATTCTCCTTTCTTATTTCCATGTGCTGTATGAAATATTAAATTCCATGAGATTGATAAGTACAAATGGTGAGAAAAAGTGTTCACAATCAGTGGGAACATTGAACCCTCAGGTTATGGTAGGCCTGCGGCAGCAATGATGTCATTCCAAGGTCAAGTTCATTATCAGCTGATATAACTAACAAACATCTCCAGCTGCATAATGGTGTGCCAAATGACTGCTAATATTTGCCACTTTTCACAGAAGTTTTCTTGCATCTGGCATGATGGGAAAGAAGAGAGGCTATGTTTATGACAAAATAAAATGGTGATAACAGTGAGTTCTGTCAGTAGGCCTAATTTTTGTTTTTACTACTGTACTATTCAGTCAGCTGTGTTTTTTTATAATTTTGGGATTTTCTAGCTTTGGCTAGGTTAGTGTGTATTTTCTCACCACTGGGAATGAAATCAGATTCCATCCTGACTCAGTGTTTCAAACAATCGTGATTAAAAAGGTATGTGATAATCTCTTCAATAATGCAGGAGAATGTTTCAGGATATTAAAATGTTGTTATTTTTTATTTAGGCACCCCAATGTTTATCAAATGTTTCATCTTTAATGTCCCGCATAGAAATGTTGTTTATATATTTTTTTTACCTTTTTACTTTCCGATTGTAACATTAATAATGTGGGAAAAGCATACTGGTAGCTTTTTCCCATAAGAAGGCTTCAGAACTTAGCAACTAAGTTGTATATCAATAAACTATCCAGTTATAATTATTTTATGCAAATGGTCAAATGTGGTAGAATATGTTGTGGTGTCAAAATCTGAAATAGTGATATAATCCAAAATAATACAATCACAGCATGATGAAAATTTCATTTAATAATCGATACACAGAAACCAGAACTTGTAATGATAAAAAATATATTACGAGACACTGAAACAACAATTACTATCTCACAAGATCTTTAATGAAAAAATTCTTCTATAAGTAACCTACAAAAGCACACTAGGTATATAAATATTCTATACAAAAGCAATTTACTAATAAAACTGTTACTTTAATACATTTCTCCTACTATAAATTACGTACTTAATATTAACAAATACCTTTACTGAATATCTTAATATAAATAATATAATCCGCTTAAATTTATATATTGTTAGAACACACACTTCTTTATTTTACATTAAGTAGGTTTAATTTATGTACAGAAAGTGAGTTAAAGCTATTTATAGAAATGCAGAAGGGTAGCTTGAAAAGTATACAAATGAGAGGGTAATAATTACATTAGCTAGGTTGTAATCTCAATTCATTCAAAACTGTTTATAATTCTTCATTATTTTCTGCCGACTTCAATTGTCCCTAACTAACTGTACTTACTACTCGAGATAGTAAAATTAGCTAATATTGAAATAAAAAGATTTAAGAGTAATATTTACATTTTTATTTTCATTGAAGAACCACTATACATGTACAAAATAACAATAAATTCAATCAGGGTCTCCACTCAAACTTGAACTAGAAAAATTTTATTAAATGATTTGCTGAAATTTAAAAAGTTAAATGAAATATTTATTTGCAAATGATAATGCAACACATTTAGAATTAAACTGAATATTTAGAAGTAGGGATTCTATTCTCTACTTTTTCCATCCTTCTTCTATTCCAAAGCACTGAGATATACAAGCCTGCTATGAAAGAAAACAAGTAGAACACCAATGAAAATTGCAGTGGTTTTTTTTTAGTTTGCAAGTCAGGATGTTGAATATCCAACAGAAGAAATCTCCAATCCCATTTTATGGGATTTAATTAATTTTGGCTTTTTCGAGACCGGAATCGAGAAATTGCAAAAGCTGTATCATAAGTTTAGATAAGTAAAAAATCCTGATGCCATCATGATCGTGGGGCCAGGTTATCATTAATTACATCGTGTCACCGTGGTCAAGGTAAATTATTTCACTGTGAATCTGAAGTCACAAAGAGAATCAGAGTTTCCTCAATACTGTCAGTGTAAAAAAATATGGATGATCAAGGATCCCCCATCCTCAATTTAAGGTTTACCCTACCACAAAACTCTTGGCTTATTCCGTTTTGTTTTAGGCTACAGCAGAAAAACCTCATGTATCATTCAAGGTTTTACGACTTTCATGTTTGAGTGGAGACCCTGACAAGTACTGAGCGAATTAACTACATCTTTGGATAATATTCTTGGATATTACATGTCAATTTCAACTAAAAAAGAATAAAAAACAAATTGATAAATAAAACAAGAAACCATTTGAGAGGTACAACAATTAAAAAGTACTGAGTACTTGAACAAATACACTTTATAATACATTTTTTTATGTACAGGATAATTGAAAAGAACTTTACAGATTTTTAATCTTTATTTTAAGGGATTGAACAAATAGTTATTTGTGCAACTAGTGAGAAAAGTGAGCAATTGACTCACTCAAGAGAAATCCTTACTCACGAGCCGTAGGCGAGTGAGGAATGGTTTCTCGAGTGAGGCAATTGTACTTTGAACTCGAGTTGCACATTATACTTTTCCTACAGTTATCATAAAACAAATAAATTTGTGAAGAAACATAACCTATTTTTACACAGAAGTAAACTTTTAATATAACATTTAATGTGAAGTGACAGATACAACAGTACAACAGCTGACCAGCTGATTCATAGCCAGTGCTGCCAACGTAGTTGCCTGCATGTTACTCGCTCACTATTTCGTGCCTTCATGTTGCAAATATGGAGTGAGACAAAGTAATTAGAGTGAGACAATGTTAACATTGTCTCACTGATGAGCGAATTGGCCATTTTGCTTTCTCAAATCAGTGAGAGAACATGTACATTGTTAGGTAACTGTAGGAAAAAATACTTTAAATGTGAATGTTTGTAAAAAATAAATAAGTAACCAATAGTGAGAAATATCAATATCAATATTTTTATTGTTGTTGCAAATCTTCAGGAATCTTTAAAATTAATACACTTTGCTTTACTTTTCTTGCTTTTTTAAATTTTCATTTTCATGTCTACTCATGATTTCCTTTTACATTCATATGTAAATAAGAAGCAAACCTAGCGATTATATTACATTAAATAAACATTTTCATTTTATGTTTTTTAGTTCATAATAGTCTAACTGTAATGCCCATCCATCATATAAACATATTTAGTTGTTCAACAATCAGAAATTATATTTATTTATTTATTGTTTACAACAATTAACAAAAAAATTTTAAGGATTCAACAAATTTTAAAAACAAAAATCGCTTTCAAAACCACAAGACAATTCTAAACTGTTTAAACAAGCGTCAGACAAAATATAGAATCCAAAACCATTCACAATCTTTAAACGTTATAGACATATGAAAAGTATATAAATATATCATTTATAATATTACAAAACAGTATATACATGCAATATGTACAACGAAACACTACAGCACCTAAGGGCAGTTTGTACGTTTCATGTTACAACTACTTAAGTATTTCCTTGAACCAAAAGAAACAGGAACACAAAAATTTAATATCACAATAGAAATGAACATTATTACACAAAGCGCTCAAATAAACTTGAAGTTATGCTAAATCAAAACGTAAGAAGCATTTTAATTGGTCAAAACGTCCAGTTAAATCAGAAATTTGCTGGAGAACTTCGGCACACAGTGCTTTGAAGCTTAACCTCATCACATCAATCCTGAAACAAAACAAAAGATTTCATACATGATGTAGATTTATTTTTGCTTATAAAATGCATTGTATAGCTTGTCTCGAGTTAAGATGGCTACCTTATCAGTTAACAACTGGGCCGGTTCGATTAAATCCATTTAGTCATGCCGCAGTGAATACTTTAGGATGGAAAAGTACCTAATAAATCATTTTAAAATTAAATTTTTACCTAAGATCATGGTAATCTAAGCTATCATGAAAAAAAAATTGAGTTTGTCCCATGGTAATCAGTTAACTTAAAATGTTAAATATTCAAAAAAGTGCAGTAAGTTTCAACACTTAAAAACGTGTACCATTTGTACAATAAGATTTAAAGTTTTCCCGTTTGGCTCAGTCATTGCTGTAAAAGACAAAGCAAGGCTCAGCAACTGATCAGATGCTTAGTTTCTTGTACAGATTTGTTCCTACCGAGGTTATATAAGGCGTCTGCCCCATGCTGCTGTCTCTTTACAGTCAGTTTTCATAGTAAATTCAGTGCATAACCCCATTTCGGGATTTTTTGATAATGTTTGCTAAAAAATAAATTAAAAAATGATAATTGATGAGTGAGAAATTTCGTTAAAACGATGTGAAGTTAATTTAATTCTTAATAAGATCAATGCTAGATGATGATTGATTTGTTTTTCCCTTGTAAGAATAAGTAAAGATAAATTGTGCCTATTTAAGAGACTTAATCTCAAAAACTCTGTCTAATATGAACAAGAATTTTGTAGGGTTAAAGAAACAAAGAGTTATTGGGAATGTAGAATATCGATAGCATGTAGAGTGGATTGAGTGGACTGTATATTTATAAGTTAAGCGGAGTTTTCATTCTTCAAATTAGAACACTGAGATACAATTAACAAATAGTTTTAATATTAACAAATAAACTTTCAATGATTTTACAGAACTTTAAAGAGAGATTACAGAAGAGAGAGGGATCTTGAGTCTTGATGTGTTTGTTTTTTAACTAACAAAAATTACTAATACATTATTTCATTGTTAAATCCCATATGTTGTTTTAAACATTAAAACAAATTAAAAACCAATGCCATCTGTATTTATTTTTAGTTGATAGAAAGTATTATTATAACAAATCACAATTAATTACACTGAATATTGAACATACCCCCGCCCGTGAACCACTAAGAGGGGTTCACCTAATAATGAAGTATTGAGAAAAAAATTATTTTAGAAATGAACATATTATTTACAATAAACTGATGGTTAACAGTCTAACTTCTTTCGTCATTCATCATTGATTGGTAGGGGTGAGACTTTAGTTATAGGTCTGGAGAGTGTTCCTGATGAAGTTTTTAACTGTACAACTCGTACAAGACCATCTTGCCCTGGGGAAGTTGAAATGACACGTCCCATTCGCCATGAAAGGGGAGGTTGGTTTGGTTCATGCAATAGGACAAGATCTCCAATTTTTATGTTAGGTTGAGGACTTCTCCATTTCCCTCGTTGTTGCAACGTGTAGAGGTATTCTTTTTGCCATCTTTTCCAAAAACTTTGGGTTAAGGCTTGAACAAACTTCCACCTTGACAATCTGTTTGTTGAGACATCTTTCCAGTCAGGTTCGGGAAGAGATAAAAGAGGTCCTCCAATCAGAAAATGACCAGGAGTTAAGCAATCAATTTCGCTGGGGTCAGATGAAAGTGGGGTTATGGGCCGTGAATTTAGAATTGCTTCGATGCGAGTTGTTAGTGTGATGAACTCTTCAAGAGTAAGAATCTGTTCGCCTATGACTCTCCGAAGATGGTGTTTTACACTGCGGACAGTTCTCTCCCAAAGGCCACCTTGGTGTGGAGCTGCGGGGGGTAAGAAATGAAATGTAATGTTGTTTTCCATTGCAAACTTACTAAGAGCTTCTTGAGTTTCTTTCTGGACGAAGAAATTCTTAACAATCTTTTGAACTTCATTAGCGGCACCTACATAATTTGTTCCGCAGTCCGAGTAGATGTTGCTACACAACCCTCGTCGAGAGACAAATCTCGTCAATGCTGCTAGGTAAGCTTCGGAACTGAGATCTGTAACAACCTCTAAATGTACAGCCTTGACAGAAAAACAAATGAAGATACAAACGTATACTTTGATTGGACAGGACTTCCTTAATTTGCAAGGTTTAACTGAGAATGGGCCTAAAAAGTCCGTCCCGCAGTTGTTGAACACTCTTGAGGGTAGGACTCGTTGAGGAGGAAGATCTCCCATTTTCTGAGTTGTTGTCTTAGGATTGCATTTGAAGCATCGGATGCACTTGTAAACTCTTCTTCGAATAATACTTCGAGCAGATAGGATCCAAAACTTCTGAGATAAAACGGCTTGTAAAAACTGAGGTCCAGCATGCAAGTGTTTCAAATGGTAATGATCAACGATGAGATTGGTGACATGGTTAGTTTTGGGCAATACAATAGGATGCTTTGCAGCGTAGGATACTTGAGAGTGCTTAAGGCGGCCTCCAACACGAATCAATCCATTTTCGTCTAAGAAGGGGGAGAGAGACGCGAGACGAGAGGAACAAGGTTTTCCATCTTTCAATCTAGAAATATCTTCAGAAAAGACAGTTTGCTGAATCATTTTACAGATAGTGATTGTTGCTTTATCAAGCTCTTCAAGCTTTAAAAACCCTGATTCTTTAACCTGGTTTGTAAGGTTATTTTTGAAGCGTAGAACGTAAGCAATGACTCGCTGGAGGGTTGACCAAGATGAAAACCTGTTGAATAAGTCTGGTTTTTTAGTTGTAACCATTATTGGTAAAGGTTCGACCTTACGTTCTGGCAATTGTTCGTCTTGGAGAGGGGTGAAGCGAGGAATAGGCCATGATTCCTGATCCAGAGATAACCAATTGGGACCGTTCCACCCTAAACTGTTGTCTTTCATAGAAATGGGAAGGGTTCCTCTACTGGCAATGTCAGCTGGATTACAATGAGTTGAGACATGTTTCCATATGTAAGTAGGAGTAAGTTCTTGAATTTCTGAGACTCGATTTGCAACATAAACTTTTAAGCGGTAGGGTACCGTTTTTATCCATGACAAGACTACAGATGAATCACACCAAGCATGTAATTCGTTGACAAGATAATCTTGAGAGAGTAGAGAGTTGCAATAGTTCAGGAGTTTGGACAAAAGATGGGCACCACACAATTCTAGTCTAGGGATGGAGATCTTCTTAAGAGGAGCTACTCGAGCTTTGGCAATTAACAGATGTACGTTGATTTCTCCGGAAGAACTTACACATCGCAAGTAGACACAAGCTCCGTAACCTGTTTCAGACCCATCACAAAATCCATGTAAACTGATATGAACAGCATCAGCTACGGAAACATATCGAGGTAAGCTAAGTTCACTTAAGAAAGGGAGTTGTTGGAGGAACTTAGACCATTTTTCAGTTAGATCCGGAGGTACAGGCGCATCCCATGATAAACCTAGTGCCCATAAAACTTGTATCAACGCTTTTACCCAAAGAGTGACTGGAGTCAACCAACCGTTTGGATCAAATATTCTGCTAACTGTTCCAAGTATACCTCGTTTAGTGGGAGGCGTGTCTGGGATATTCAACTGATAAGAGAAAGTGTCTGAGTTAGGTGACCATTTTATACCTAGTACCTTGAAATAAGGTTGATCTGAGGAGTTGAAATATAGAGGAGTTTCTTTGTAAGAGTCGGGGAGAGTTTCCATGATTTGAGGGCAGTTGCTAGTCCATTTCCTCAGTTCGAAACATCCTTTTAAAAGAAGTTGTTCCACCTCATTTCTTAGTACCAAAGCTTGTTCTATGCTGTTGGCACCTAATATTAAATCATCTACATATACTTGTTTCTTTAAAGCCTCAGCTGCCAGAGGGAAGTTTGCGCCTTCATCAGTGATAAGTTGGTGAAGTGTCCTTAGTGCCAAGTAGGGTGAGCAGTTGAATCCAAACACAACTGTAGTTAAACGGTAAACTGAAAGGGGGTCGTCTTTGTCATCTCTCCAATACAACATTTGATAGTTTCTATCATCTGGGTGGATCATTATTTGACGAAACATTTGTTTGATGTCACATGAGAAGACAATAGGGGAAAGTCTAAACTTTAACAGAATATCATTAAGATCATTATGTAGTTTTGGCCCGGTATGTAGAATATCGTTAAGGCTGACACCTGAGGAGCTGCGTGCGCTTGCATCGTATACTACACGAAGCTTGGTGGTTGAGGAATCTACTTTGACAATAGCATGGTGAGGTAAGTAAAATTGTTTATTATCACTATTTGGAGGAGGGTTAACAGGTTCCATGTGACTAGATGACAATAAATCATGTATGGCTTTATTATACTCTGCTTTAACTTCAGGCTGACTTTCTAATTTTCTTTCAAGTGATAGGAATCTATTGCGAGCGCAAAATGATGAGTCACCAAGAGGGGGATGATTTTCTTTTATGGGTAGCCTAACAAAGTAGCGTCCATTTGAATCCCTAGAGACCGTGTTTAGAAAGTGATTTTCACAAATTTCTTGTTCAGATGTTACATGATGTTTGATGGGAGGTTCCTCTAGAGTCCAAAATTTCTGCAGAGAATTGTGCAAATCAATATCTTGAGTACTTAATAAAGAAACATTACCCTTGCATTGAGGGGCTGTTTTTTGAGGGGCTACAGCAGGAAGAGTTGGGGCAGATCCTATGATAAGATATCCAAATACAGAATTCATGGCAGCAGGAAGATCCTTGTTAATGATGATGCGTTCACCAGTGATTACTTTAGCGAATAGATCAGCACCTATGAGCACATCTATCTTACTAGGCAAATGAAAAGTTGGATCAGCCAGGACCAAATGTTTGAAGTATTCTTTAACATTAACTGGAACTTCTGAGTGTGGGAGGTTTGAGGTTATTCTGTCTAGAATAAGGACTGGGTTGTTATCAGCAATCATTTCTCCGCTAAGAGACGATATGTTAACTTTTGACACACCTTTAGATTTAACTTCTACTGATGATAGGCCATCTATCTTGGAATTACTGGAAAATGTCCGTTTAAGCATAAGCAGGTTAGCAATATTTTCTGTTACGCAGCTTACCATAGATGCGGAGTCAATAACGGCTCGGGCTACAACTGTGTTACCGTTATTAGCTTTCAAGTGTACCAATGCAGTGGCTAGCAATATAGTGGTATTAGGGTTTGAGGAGACAGCTACAAAGGGAGGTTCAGGGTGATCATAAGTTTTATTCATTTCCTTGGGCATCGGAGCATTATCGGGCTTGGGCTTTTGATTACCGGTAAGCTTATCATTAGGCCTATTATTAGTTGTATGTAAGAGGGAGTGATGTTTCAGTTTACAGTGAAAACATGTTTTATTTGACTTACAGTCTTTGACAGAATGAGCGGTACCTAAGCAGTTCAAACAAAGGTGGTTTTTCCTCACAAAATTGTATCTTTCCTGTACGGACAAATCTTTAAACTCTGAACATTGGTAAATGTTGTGATCACTTTTACTACAAAATGTGCATGTGGCGTTTGAGTCTCTGAAAGCTAGTAAAGTAGTGCGGTTCGGTGTAGACTTATGTAGGCCTATCTGATAGGAGTGAGGGCTGGACCTCTTACTATTTTGAGTGAAACCTACATTGCTATTGCTTGAAGTAGTTCTAGGGAACTGAGAGTTAGAGAGGTTAGCAGCTTCTAAGTAAGCACATTCATTTTCTAAAAATGTTATTACTTCACCTACGGTTGGAAGGTCTTGAGAATTTAGACGTAAGCTTTCAAACTTTTTGCGAATGTCTGCGTGTAATTTCCTTAGTAACATGGCTGAGAGCAAGATATTATCCTTGGCTATGTCATGATTGAGTGCAATGAGTGCTTGGGCATTTTCATTATACTGAGAAATGAACGAGCGAATGTTCTTGAGGGAGGAGTCAATTAGGTTAGGTAAGTCTATTATGTTGTTGAGGTGTATACTTATGATTTTCCTACTGTTTTGATACCGTTTTTGAAGAAGATCCCATGCTACATCATAGTTTTCAGCTGTGATTGGTAAATTCTTTAAAAGATTGAAAGGTTCTCCCTGTAGAGTAGAAAGCAGATATTGAAATCGCTCAACTTTGGATATGTTTTCATTATCATGAACAGATACTTGAAACAGGCTAACATAAGATAACCATTGTTCCGGTGAACCATTGAAAGTTTTGAGAGATAGAGGAGGGAGTTTTAGAGAGTGGCTATCTTGGTTTGAGGAAGAGCTACTAGGCCTATGGGGTAGGCTACTTGATGGAGTATTTGTTATTGAGTCAGTGTTTAGAACAGGCCTATGACTTGTAGGATCTTGAGAAAGGTGTTTCTTCGTGAGAGTTTGAATTCCTACATATAAGTCAGATATAGTATCTTGTAATTGAAAGAGTGTATCTTCTTCATAATCATCGGGAAGCGTGTCACTATTGAATAGTTTCTCAAGGGAGGTTTCAAATTCTGAGTATTTTCTAAGTGTTTCTGACTCTAAAAGTTTCAACTTATTTATTTGTTCTTGGGACAATTCAGGTAATAAATCTAAAGCTTGGATGTTAGTTTGGATTTTGGCTAAACGATTTGCAATTGAGTTTAATTGCCTAGAGAGAGTGACGAATTTCATTTTTGTTGTACAACAAAACAATTATTCTGAGTATTCAGAGAGAGAGAGATTAGAGATTGTCATTATTGTCTGCAATACGAGACACAGATAACAGATGGCATTGTTACATTAGCGCTATTAGTGGTTGCTATGAGCATTACAAAATACCAAATTGTACAGTTTGATACAAATTGAAATGTCAATTGAATTGATAAATTACAACAAAAACAATATGCTTAAAATATAGAGGAATCAAAGTTTGAATCAAAGTCCTTTAGATATTGACCTTTTAGATCTACAGTAGTCTTGGTAGTCTTCTTACTTCTTAGTTATGAGAAAGGAGTTAGTAGTTCATTTTTAAGGTTGCAAGTTGGAGTTGGAGTAGAACTTATTGTGACTTATAGTTACCAAAAGAGCTGAGTTTCAGATGATCTGCGGCCGAAGGACCATGTAGAATATCGATAGCATGTAGAGTGGATTGAGTGGACTGTATATTTATAAGTTAAGCGGAGTTTTCATTCTTCAAATTAGAACACTGAGATACAATTAACAAATAGTTTTAATATTAACAAATAAACTTTCAATGATTTTACAGAACTTTAAAGAGAGATTACAGAAGAGAGAGGGATCTTGAGTCTTGATGTGTTTGTTTTTTAACTAACAAAAATTACTAATACATTATTTCATTGTTAAATCCCATATGTTGTTTTAAACATTAAAACAAATTAAAAACCAATGCCATCTGTATTTATTTTTAGTTGATAGAAAGTATTATTATAACAAATCACAATTAATTACACTGAATATTGAACAGGGAAGGATAAACAATTTTAAGCTTAAGGAAATATCAATAGCAATTACAATTTTTAGCTTAAGGAAGGATAAATAATTTTAAACAATTTACTGTACATACTAATACAGTACTGTAGAACCTCGCTAATTCGAACCTTGATAATTAAAAAACCTCTATAATTAGTATTGTTTGTCTGTTCCCCTCAGAAAACATCTAAAATTTGGAAAATAATATACCAATAATTTGAAGTGATTTTTACGCTTAATGCTGTCTAACCAATTCAAATTTGCATATACTGGAGCCTCTACAATTAGAATTTTGTTGCCGTAATTCAAACTGTTACCTCCAAAATTCAAAGTCAACCTCTACAATTCAAACAGTGTTACCGTAGAGCCTCTGTAATTCGAATTCAGGACAAAAAATACGCCTGTTGAAACATGAACTGACGCTCGTGTCTCCGTTCTCTCAAACTCTCTACACTTAAAACTGGGACCTTCATAATTCAATTTTTTTAAATTCTGACCTCGATAATTCAAACTCTTTATATTTCAAACTTCCTATAGTTTGAAATACATTGTCTTTCCTGTGAAATTTCAATTAGCGAGGTTCTACTGTATATTTTTCTTAAATTGAAGTACATAAATTTGACGTTGAAGAAGAAATACAACTTAATTTTTCCCTCAAATAATTCACGTTATGGTACTGACTGAAAAACTAACTGGCAAGGTTAGTCACCAGGTGCAAGATTGACTTCTCCCTGTTTAAATGTTTCCTAATAGGTCGAAATGGCAAAGCCGATACAGTACATTGAGTTAGAACTACCAGGTTCCATAGTTTGCAATCAGGGTAAATAACACAGATACTATGCAACTTCTGCAAAAATCTGTAATGAGTTCGCCAAGAAATCTGGGCTGCCAGATCGGGTGCTGACTTTGTTTAGATTTCCAAGTGTATAAACTATCAAGTGACGATGATGATCACGAGGATTATGCTACAAACCTCATCTGGATGACAGTGTTGTACGTCTAGGGTCTGGAGCCTCTGGCTGCCTCTTCTAAAGCTCTCACCTTCAGCTCTCTCTCCCTTTGTTGTCTGGAATACAAACCATCATTACTCGTCATATACTTGGGAAGCTGACAAATAGCACTATCTGTGCTAAGGTGCTTTTCCCCTACATATATCCTCAAACAGGTACGCTAAAATATCATAAACAAAAATTGAACATTTTGAAAAACAAAACTGATAACTAAAATTACTGTACAAACTCAAATTTTCTGAGTCAATTAGGACCATACCACATTCGGATAATCAAAAGTTTGTATACATAGGCCTAATTGGATTTGTGCTAATATTGGGGGTATTTTATAAAAAAATTGGCGAAGTCGAGCCGAGATCATGATTAAATAATCACGATTGGGAAGGACCACGACAATATCTATTGAACCTGGGGACAGCTTCAGGATTTTTTATGATCAAAGCTTTTGCTCTATTTAATAAATATTCTTATTACTGTGGTATAGGGTTTTCGAATTTCTTTCTGTAAGTGATTTCGAATGGTTGGCGTTTGACTGTTGTCAAATGCAAAATTCAGACACATCAAGAAAATTATAAATATTATTATCTTTAATGTTCACAGTAAGTTAGGCTTTGCTAAAAAAAAAACGGTACGACTAAAACTCATAATTTGAAATAACTTTGAGGTAGGATTGCTCGCCAATACCAACAGAAAATATATTTTCACAACACGATCTGTATATTTAAAAGAAAAAAAATTCTCATAAGAACAAGATCTAACTTATAAGGTATTACAATAGTTAAAAATAATCAGAAAACACAAGATTAATAAAGCATTAGACACACAGATCAGAATAACCATAAAATAAAAACACTCTCAAACTTGGGTGAAACCAATAAGTAAGACTTAGGTCGGTTTTATGCGCCGCGACTTGCGACTGTCTAGTCAAGTTCTATTGAGTTAAATGGGAGCATTTATGCACCACGACAGCAACAAAGTGTCGCGTGAGCAACTCCGCGATCTCTAAATACCCGCGACAGGTTTTTGAATCGCAGCTTCAAAAAATGTGTCACGCGCGGTTCAAGTTCTATTGGATCAAATGGTTACGTTTATGCACCGCGACAGTCGCGGTGCAAAAGTAGTATTTTTCATACTCCACGTAATATTTTCTCCATATATTTACATTTTGCATAGATATATTGATTAATGTTAATAAATAATATTAAAATAAGTTCTTTACCTTTTATTTTTATTATAAATTACGTCATGTTTCTTATGACTGGGACGGGTGGCGTCGTCCAGTAATCCAGCTACTAGGAAGTCACGAATTGTGGTTATTTATAAGCATTCTCTGTGGATGCGATACTCCCTGGTGTGGATTAACGTCCGCACGGCTGAGTACTACGACTATCCGCAGTACTATCCTGATAATTAGACCAATTCGTATATAACTAAGGCAAAAATGTGGTTCGGATTCAACTACGGTCATTTTTATTATAATTCAATTCAATTCCAAGATACTTTATTCAAAAATATACAAGAGTATAACCAACACCTAAGCACGAAAACATCGTCTCCCATGATAACGGCAAACTCCTGAATATCTCACTCATTCACGGAAACATTATCATCGGATGCATGGTATTGAAATCTCCCTTAAGGTTATCATTGTCATCCGCGATTGCCGCAAGATCCAGAATATCTCCCGTGGTTTGTATACTGTCGTCTCCCAGAGTCAAGGAAACATCATCATAGTCCTCTTGTGGTGGCAAATGCGTGCATTTTTCGATCATGCTATCTTCGCAGGTGCGTTTTTTACGATCTCGATAGTAAAAGCTAGGCTCGAGGAGCTTGATTTTTCAACTTTTTTGCTGGAACTCTCGAGTTTGCAGGCAAGGCTAAGCTCAGCTCGAAAATCAAAAAAAGAAATAGTGCACCACTACTGTAGTTCTAAATGGCCAAAATAAAAATCCCGGTATGGCTCTGAAAATTCCGACATTTCCCTTTTTCTTAAAGGTCCCTTCAAATTCAAGGTTTTCCGGTTAGTTTACACCCTGAAAATAGATGTAATTTGATAAACATTCATTTTTTAATTTCTTCAGGAGAGGGTTTCTTGATAGATTTAAGATCCTACTAGTGAAATACCAATAGGTAGTGTAAAAACCAATAGGAACTACAAAATTGCAAAAGACTGTTGTGTGTGTACAGAAGGGAATTGGAAACATTAAAAAAACTTCTACTATAGTAGCTGGATTGTAGCTGCTTTCTTATTTGTTCTGCTGTTCTCGTCAAAGTTCAGTTTACACTATGATTATAAATTGCAAGATTGATAATACCTGAGTGAAAATCTACTAAACTCTCACTACAACTATCCCTTCACAACGTCAGTCCCTACCCACTTAGGTGCAAAGGCAGTTATTTACTTGCTAAACCTCCCATTAAACCACTAATGCAACTTTAAGGAAAGAAGTTTGTGTTTTGAAAAATGAATTACGATCGCAAGCGGAAATATAGCACACACAAAATTAATTAAGGGCCATAGCATTTATTCCAAGTTATTTTTTTTAGTCAACTAAGTAACTTTGGTCTTTGGTCTAAGAGAAACAAAGCAATGATTTGGCAAAAACAAAAGAAATACCTAGAATTGATATTGAACACACACACCAGAATCAAAACCCAAGCATGAATGAGGTGTAAAAAAGGTAAGTACGTAGGCAAGTTCATTCTAATATTACTTTTTACTTTCTCTCTCTCTAAGCTTTTGGATAGAATGGTATTGTTTCTATTAAAATTTCCGAGTTTGAGTTTTGAGTGGAAATATCCTTTGTAGAGACTGACCCCAAAAAGAGTTTTTTCGAAACGATTTCTCTATGTTTGGATGTACAGAGCTTACAACTACCCTATGGCCTGATTTTAATGATGGTATAAAATGGGTACTAAAATTCATAGTATTTCCAAGGTTCAACAATTTTTTAAAAATTATTTTGATTTATAATTTTTATTTCCCATTAAAAACCCGGACTTTAATAAAAATAAAAACTGCTTAAACAATTTTGATTAAAATTTAATATGTTATGGTCCTTTTAACTCTAAAGAATTACAATCAAAAAATTAAATAGAATTGGCTAATCTCCTAGTATCTTTGGTCTATTGACCGATCGGGTAGATTTCATGGAGTTAAACAATACCACGTGTATTTCTTCTACCTAGCCTAACGTCCTAAGCTCCGGACAAGGAATCAGATTAGAGCCCCTCCGGTACAAGACACATACGGCCCTGCTGCCAACATGAGTTAGATGATGGATGCTCGGTTAGTCGCCCAGTGACACACAGACACAGAGGCTTACGTGACATTTACATTGTATTCCAATAGTGTACACTGTACCGTAAATACTCCTCATGATGAGCTACCAGTGACGGATGCGGGAACCTCTCTCTCTCCAACAACATCTGTCGCTGCAAGTGCTCGTGAGCCGCAGCCTACAACACAAGCTATAGGTCAGACTAGTACTACATAGACGGTTACTTTACAATGCAAAAAATACATTCAACTTGATTCAAAACAGTTAATTAGAAGGATGGTTCGATTCCAAAAGTCAACTCTCTATTCCACCAATTCTTGGCTTTGGAATTGAGAATCGACCGCTCAAAGTCAACACGTCAAAAACATTGAAATTTACATACCAAATGTTACATTATGCACAAGACATTTACATATACGAAACAACACGATAACGCTATCATGACATGGCGGTGGTTGTAGGTAGACTTTTTGAGTCTCTGAGTACCTACTACCCCCGACGTGTCATCACAGCGCTATTGTGTTGTTTCGTGGGAACGAGCTGGTGTAGTGGTTAGAGCGCGGGACTTCGGTCCCTGAGTCCCACCAAATCACCAATGGATTTTATCTAGTGATAATTCCACAACCCCTAGGTCTAGCCTGAAGTAATGTGAAAAACAATCCCAGGCTTGTGCCAAGTGTCCTAGTACAAACAATTTTAGTGTTTCGTGTGTTAATTTTAATTTTTTTGAATGCTACCAAGATCTTGCATTGCAACGAAACATTGTAAGGTTTAAATAATTGAAGTTTGGCATAATTTGGACTAGGCCTACTGACAGAGGTAAGCCTTAAATTCCTATATATGTAGTCCAGGAGCTATAGGAATGAATATTATTCTCCTGCTGAAGTTTTTCTTCAGTTTACAACATTTTAACAATTTAACGTAACTAAAATTATTAAAAGCTGTAATATTGTTGCCAATTACCTGATGTGCAAGCTGGTCTGCGTAGGGGCGAGCCAGTAGCTCAGAGGGATGGTGGAGGGCTAGGGCAGCCTCGCGGGGTGGCAAGAGGCTGGGCCGCGGATAACCTCCACTGCCTGTCGCTGCAAAAACATTGATAAGTATAATGAACAATTTACCTGTGTGAGTGTCTCTTGATTAGGAGGGAATGTTTCTACCTATGTAAGATACAAACAGTTTAGATACGGTAGGCCTACATTTATTTTAATTAAAATGATTACGTCGTTGAACTCGCAAAAACATTGGCCGACGTGGAATTATTGCAACAACCCTTCTTCCGGCAAATCAACTTGAATAACTGTCTGAGAAGTCTACAGTATGATAGCTAGTACATAGTCATCCCTTTACCACCTAGATACGAGAATCGTCCACTACTATATTATTTTGCCATATTTGGAATGTGATAAAATCACCGAACACCAAATAACAATAGAAGGTGCAAAGGGGTGTCTGGTGTCGCCAATTTTCACGAGCATTTGCAAAACTAAGATGGTGGTCGCAGCGCTGCTATTGGCAAGCGTTGGCCACTAGCTCCGCCTCCCTGCTCTCTGTCGCCAGAATATACATTAAATATAACTGAGTGGCAGTTAAGTGAATGAGTGAAACAATTAGTGATGACCACAATTGTTTTAAAATATTTTTTTTTTAATCACACATATTCAAAGCTATGTAAATCAGGAATACCTGTAACCATATTTGATCATCAATAACAAAAAAATCAACTAAGAGCTAGCAATATCACACTGACCTGGTAGGGGAAAGGCAGTGCCGGGGTCAGGCGGGGCCGGAGCTGAAGGATTGCCCCCCGCTTGTTGTCCAGGATGGAGGTGTAGGTGTGTGTGAGAGTGAGCGTGTGTGTGCGCATGGGTGTGTGCGTGGTACTCCGGAGATATCCCGGCCATCTGCAGCCTGACCATGGGGTCGGTCGTGAGTGTGAGCCTCTCAGCGTCTAGAGCCGAGGAGGGTTGCTGCTGCTGCTGCTGAGGAGGTCCGCCAGGGGGAGGTGCGTTGCCACTCGGCCCTGGCGCTGGGATACCTGCGTATGTGTAAGGGTTGTACACTTGGTGTTTCTGGTGTTCTCTTTCTGAATGGTAAGATAAAACAGATACCTGGCTGCAATGAGTGTTACAATACAAGGATGTCATTACGTCAGATGAGGTGCGCAATGACTGGTGTAAAAAAAAAAATCTTCTGAGTATTGTATGTTTTGATCAAAAAGGAAAAAAAAATGTCAAAAGAAAAAAAATAATTCTAAGAGCATAGGGCAGAGTTGAATGTGATTAACAATCCATTACAACTAAGTAAATTAGATACAACATTAGAGTAGTAATACCACAAAATATATCCTCAAATGATCCAATAAAATTATCTTTACTAATTCTATTCAAGCATATTGATGGAATAAACTACAGTGTAGTTTATTATGTATCACATAATGTTTAGAAATCGTAAATATTGTCATGATTAAAATTTATTTTCACATTATTGCACTAACTTGTTTCAGAACAGTTTAATTTTTGTGCGTCTTAAACTTTGTGTTATACATTTTCAATGGACGAGTCAGGTTGTATTAGGGATGGACGGGACTGGATTTTAAGTTTGAGACGAGATTCTTTTTCCTCATCATACTTCGAGACGAGGTTATAGATCTCATTACTATTGACAAATAGTAGTTGAAGCACAAAATGAGTGTTTTTATATCAAACTGTTTGAGAAATCGGCAAAAATATGCGGTAAACTATTATGAAGAAATACAAGTAAATTTTAGTTCAAATTGTAGGCCTACAGTGAACATCTTGGTCTACCGTGAAGGTACAACTGACCTAATCTCTCCATCCTTTCCCTCTCCAGTTGAGACAGAGCAGCAGCCTGACTGGGGCCTCCAGGACCAGGATACAAGCTGAACTGGTGTAGACCTCCGGGACCCAGGCCAGGATACCTGCGGATATCAAAGACACCGAGTTTTAGTTCTATGACAAAATACCTACACTATCGTAAATAAAACATCATCAGTCCACAGAAATCAGGACATGGGACATAAGTCGTTACCAATCTTATTTCGAGCCAAAGGCGCCAGTCGGCAAATGACGGGATGGGATGTTTTGGCAGTTTTTGCGAGAAACAAAAATGGTTCTGTGATTGTGGAAAATGTCCCATGTTAAATGAATTTTGCAGGAGTTGATCAGTCTTTGAGGACTTGAATCCGTCCGAAAATCAAGGGAAATAATTTCCCATACCGTCCCTAAGACAAAATTGCTGTTGTGCTGATCTCTAAATAAAATTTTAGTACTGTATAGTTTTGTTCAAGAAATGCTCTAGGCCAGTGTTTTGAATTGTGGAATTAAAAGGATAGCAGCTAGCTACCTTAGAAGAAGTACATGTAGGCCATAGAATGTACAGAAGACTCATAAAAACACAATATTTCATACTCCAGTGGTTTTTAAGTGTCTTCTATATTGTGCTCTAATTATGTACTTCTTCTAAGGTAAGTTAGCTGCTATCCTCTTTATTTCACAATTTAAAATTCTAGTATATGATTTCTATGGCACATACCTGTCCCTGGCGGCCGGGCCGTACATAGAGTTTATGGAGTTCAGCTGGTAGTGCAGCATTGGATCTATACACTGAGGTGGCAGACCTAGAGCTGCAGACCTTTGTAGTGTGACTGGAGAGAACCCTCCGTGTGGTCTAGCGTACTCACTGTAACCACATACAAACATATTAGTATATACTTATATACAGATGTGACAATGAAACATTAGTTAGTACAGTCAAAAGGCACGTCAGACAGATAAAACTTAACCGAGAAGTAAAAATTAGTTAAATAGCATATGAGTTATAAATGGAGAGATAGCGATTGCTTTTCACATTAATTCAGACTAGACCTAGGGGTTGCGGCATTATCACTTAAGTAAAATCCATTGGTGATTTGGCGGTATTTGAACCCGGGACCTCAGGCTCTAACCACTGCTACTCTAACCACTAGACCAGCTCGCTCCCCCAAGACTATGTTTATTGCAGTTACTGTACTTTTGGCCATGATGAGATTTGGACGTTATGTAAAAGTCAGATATTTTTATATTGGATGTCATGCTTGAGACAGCTTAAGAATTATATTTCGGACGTCTGACACTGACATATATCATTGAACGTCGTGCAATGCATCCATCCTGTTTGGTTTTTGAGATAGGTTGATGTACTACTCAGTGTGGTTTCCAAACCATTAGATCGTTGCATTATCATTATGTTGGTAGTTGGCATGAGCGTTTCCAGGAAAAAAATAGCAAACGCTAACCACAAAAAAAGAAGTAGAGAGTGATGTTTGATTGAGATAGGATTTTTATGAAAAGTATTTAAGAAGAAATTTTAGAAATAATTTTTTTTTGCACAACTTTTTTATGAACTTTGCTTAAAATTATTATATCTGATTATTTGTTATTGGAATTATCGATACCAATGTGCTTCTTACATTTGCTGGGAAGGTTTATACAAGTTAACTAAATTCATATTCTAATTTAATAAATAACTTTGAATCCTGTGGCTATTGGCGATAAGCTACTAACTGACCTGAGCTGCCGCAGTGCAGGTGTGTCTGGGTAGCCGCCACGAGGGAATCTGTCATACGGGGAGCTGATAGACTCTATAGGTCCTCGAGAGGGTGGCTTGGATGCCTCAGGCTTTTCTGGTGTTGCTATCTTTCTCTGTAATTAGTTAAACATGTTGTTAAACTGGATTCCTAAATGACATAAGATGTGATGAGATACAAAATATTATCACAATCAACATCATAACGGTATGAGTATAATGCCCAATGAAACAGTAACTTTTCACTTAAAAATTATTTCCAAGTGGATTCAAGACATTAAAAATCTGACATTTTTCAATAATTTTTTAGCCTTTTACAACCAATTTCAAATTGTAAGATGAGTAGTTTTATGAAATCGGCCACACGTCAGACCTACAAGGTCATCCTAAAGGTTAGGTCAAGCTCTCAAAACACTTTTGCAAGGGTGAGGATGGTAAAACTCCACCCTGAAGTCTGCAGGATCTTCTGAGTGCTTCTACAGGGTTGGGTTGGTACTAAATTTGGAAAATAAAATTCCTTGACTTTTCCAGGATTTCCAGACTGATATTATACTTTTTCCAGGTATACCGTAAGTCCATATCAACTAATCAAAATCAAGAAATATTAGAACAAAATTTAATTATTTAACTTATTTAATCACTCCCAAATACATAAATAGTTTATTGTAAAGTATTCAGTGTTATTTTATCTTCTACAAAACCTTTTGGGTGGATACAACTTTTGAAATTTGGTCCACCTAGATCCCGATTGATGATGAACCTTCAGGTTTGAAATCAATTTCGTTGGATCGACAATATTAGGATTGCTAAGGTAAGACCTCATCATATCAATTGTATATTACAATCCAGAGGCTAAAATGATTGATTGTTTTAGTCATACTTTTATGAAACTCTACTGACTTTATAACTCGGAACCCGTCACTAATGCTAGACTGTATGTTTATTGCTTACCGCTTGAGCCTTCTCCCTCTCTTCTCGCTCCTTCTCCGCCTGTTTCCTGATCCTCTCCTCCCGTTTGCGAGCCAGCTTCGTGTCAGGCACAGGTTTAAACGTCAGGTCAGTGCGGCAACACGAGTTGTAGTCTCCTCTGTTCCAGTGTCTTAAGAATCTGTAATCAGACGGATTCATGTCAAATTATAGTGTGATATTCAAAACCTTAGAAAAAACCAATTTAATTTCACAATACAAATTTTTTGAACAAATAGAGAAGTTTGAGAACAATTTATCCTTTATGTGATAAAACTAACACAATGGTCTTATTCCAGATATTTCAGATCTTGTAATGATGTTTGATTTTGGAACATACAAATATTTACTCGTTTCAAAAGTTTCTCAGAAGTAATGAACATTGAAATAGATTTTTAAGTCAGGGTTTTGCTGGTAAACAAATGACAACATCATTGACTCAAGCTCAAAGAGGCTTTCAAATGAAACAGTTAGAAATACAAGTTAAGCATCCATGTACTGCTTCCACTTAGGTTTTGGCAAGCTACCACAGAATAGTCAGAACTATGGCTGGGCCGAGTAAATGACATTGTCACACCACGCTGGATGGTGGGCTAAACATTGAAAATGTATTGAATAGTTTGAAAATGTAATAATTTAATGTAATAAATAAGTTTATTGAGAAATAACTCTAAAATAATTGTTTTTGTACCAGAAGAATTGTCCAAATTGAACTGTAGGTTTCAACACTTGAAGTCAGCTAATTAAGAAACAATTATTGTTCATCATGTGAGCACTTACAGCACTTAAATACAGAATAGAAAAATCAATGACATTTTAAAATTATGGGGCCTACATTAGGTTTCCACTGATGTATTAAGTGAGGCAAGCCTAATGGGATGTAATTGTAGAGCTGGCTCAGCCAATGTTCTGTTCTACCCTTTGGTCAGCCAGCTAATCTGAATTTAACTAGAGACAAGGTATAGTGATAGGCGTGCTATCAGTTGCCGGCTGTGCATCTTAACAAGTTCATGTGGTTACTGTTAAAGACATTTTCCATTGTAATAAAATCACAACATTTAAACATCAGCCTAGACCGTAAGACATGAGTACTAACATAGCAGACTGGCTCCGGTGGCACTCGGAGTCCTCGATCTTAGGTTCAGGTGAAGGTCCTCGGGGCTGCTGAGTGGGGGAAGGAGCCTCCTCCTCCTCCACACCTCCCCCCTCGTCCCCAGACACTGTCAGTGGCTCCGGCTTCACCTCCGGCTCCGGACCTCGGGCACCTTCTGGTGACAGGAACGCAGGATGTCCCAGCATACCTCCACCTGTGGTGACAAACAGTGCTGGGGTTAAACAACCGGTACTCATGTATACAAGGCTGAATAAAAAATTAACTTATTTTAACCTAGGATATAGCAAAAAGTCTTATGTTTTAAGAATTTAAGTTGTATAATCCACTTCTAATACTAAGCCAAAATAAAGATTTTTGTAAGTCAGGCTTATCTAAATAGGAGGAAGTCCATTCTGGAACCAAAACACAACATTTACTTACACCATCCACAACAATTAAATGCGCTATTCAAATCTTTGTTTACAGTGTCAAATTATTTCTTGTGCCAGAATGGTCAATTTTGGCTTGGGTTATTAGAAGTCGATTTTAATCAGTCTTAGGGCAAATAAAGGCAGCAATATGTTTTAATAGTAAATATTTTCTAATGTTATTTAACATTAAATGATGGCTTTAGTTGTACAGGCTAAACAAAAACAAAGATACTATATTCTTTAATTTGGTTTATTTGAATTACCAATGAGGTTAAATGGGTTAAAGTTTTTATAATTCACAAACCCTCAAACAAAAATTTTGTCTTATAAGAGGCCACCCACCTCTCACCCATAATTTGAAAAGGTACAAAACACAACAACGGAAAAGTAAGAAAGATTTACTACACTCCACGAACACTTGGCTTACATTACTGTGCTCTTAGTCTTAAACACTGGAATTAGAAATGGCTAGACTCTGTTCAACACATTTAGGCAGTTTTATGGGAAGAAATCTACCCCCTTCACTTGACTTTACCTATAAAAACATATCTCAACAGCTGAGGCTTGGCAAAACGTAGTTGGCTGTATAAATAAACTCAAGTTCCTGAGTAAAAACCTATTGACGAGCTAACAAACTGTTTAAACTTTGTGAACAGACTATAGTATGCACCTGGATGTGAAGCATGAGCGGCAGCCTGAGCGTGGGCCCGCAGAGCCTCCAGTGAGCTGGTGGGGGCCAACATAGGGTGATGAGGGTGTACCATCATGTGGGGGTGAGGCTTGGAGCCGACACCTCCGGCCACGGGTCTGGACCCTGGACCATACATGACATGATAAACCAAGGAGAAATCTCTCAAGGAGGAACATATATTCAGGTATATTCAATCCCAGTGTTAAAGTTTACATGGGATTTGCTTAATTGTTTTTACGGGGCTGGATAGCCAGTCCACTAATGAGGGGTCACGACTAATAGCTTAAGCATAAGTCACGATAGGTGTTTGTCTATTTGGCAAGCAGAAAATATTTGTGCTTGTGTTTTCCTGTTCATTGCCGGTATTTTTGCACACATCAAAGTGAACAAATATTTGTTATTCCTGAAACAAACAGTTGCTTGGAAAACAACACATGTGTGTAGACGTCTACTCATTTATCAGCAAATAGCAACTAACTAGATCGCCGAACGTAAAATATTTTGTGCTTGGCGAATGGCGCATGTCTGGAGCCGCCTTTTGTGTGGAGACTTGTTGTTTGACACCAACCAAATATTTTAAGACCAACTCTTGGCAACTAGACTGTACAACTGATAGTCCTAAATCCCTCTGATCTTGATCATGAGGTAATTCATAGAAGAGAGATAACCATATGGTAGCTCACCTAGCTGGAGAGGAGAAGAGCCCATCCCTGGACTGAGTCGTTCTCCTGTCACACTCTGATGGTGATGTGAGTGTTGGTGGTTGGTAGACAAGGAGGAGGACGTCGTCTGCGACAGAGTGGCCGACAGGTGACAGCTCGACTGCAACATACACAACAGTCAATGTAGTACAACTCCTACATCCACCAGTAGATTGAAATACTATGGTAAGGAACTTCAAACAATTCATAAATTCATTTTTCGCCACACTACACGGATTTAATAAATTTTCCACACATTAAATTAGTCCAGAAAACCGCTGTTTGCCACCTGCTTAATCAAATGTGGTTTCATTACGTACTACTGTACTGTAATGTTACCAGACAACAGCTGATTATAATATTGGCAATAATTCAGCGAATGAACAAACGAAAAATATAACCTCTCTTGGAAGTTATGAGAAGTGATTATTTATTGGGTAGTTTTAGTTTATTCAGTGGGAATATAAAACGGATTTGTACAGTTTAAGCAAATTTGCCAGGAAAGCTATTACCGTCTAGGTCTCATAGTTCTAGACCTAGAGTAAGACCGATTTACTTTTTTGTTTTGATGTCGCCAGAGGCCAAAAATACTGTGGTTCTGAAAAAACTTTAATATCACAGGTAAGATTATATTTTATTACAGTCTTTTCATTTTAAGAATCGGAAAGGAAGTCTCTAAATAGGAAAAAAATTGCTTAACAGACCCAATTTTAAAGTTTGAGGCAGATAAATCAACCTGTATATTTACCAGGCCAAGGCAGTCGATCCAGTGTCAGTTAAGTACTAAGTAGAGTGTTGGTATACAGTATTAATTTCTTTAGGTTGGCAGACGTTACAAAGAAACTATATGTATATATCTAACCTGTGTGGCGGCTGGGCTGGTGCCTCTCTTGGTAGAGTTGATCTTGTGCTGTACACTAGCAGAGCTGCTGGAGGTGGTGGAGTGACTGATGGTCAGAGGCTGTTTCTCTCCCCCATGGTGATGTACGGAGGAGTGGTGACTTGTAGAGTGGTGATGAGTCTGAGTGATCTCCTGTGTCGTGTGGTGATTGCTCTCCTCACGTGTCTCTACTTCCCTCAAGGACCTGGTAGTCACACTGGAGTGATGAGACGTCATCATGGTCGTCTCGAGACTGTCCCTCTTCTGGGGAGGAGGCACGGGCTGCGGGATGGGGTAGGGTCCATAGGAGAAGGGGTACGGTGGATATCCGTAGGGGTGATGCGGGTGATACGGACTGTGGTGTACTGCGGCCGCGTGAGCTGCTGCGGCGGCAAACAGTGGGTGGTGAATTAGAGCGTGATGGGGATGAGGCATGGCAGGAACAAAGGCGTGAGGATGAGCTAGATGGCCGGGGGAGACTCTACTCAGAGGGGAAGGTTGCTGTGAAGGATGCATCGGCTGAGGAAGTGAACTCGGAGGGTTCCCTGAAGTGGGTGACGGAGCGATGAGATTTGTCGCACTGTGTGATACCGGAGGAGGTGGAGGGGGGAAAGGAGGGGTGTGAGTGGAGGAAGACCGAGGAGCGGGAGAAGCTATGGGAGTGGTTTCTATCGGCTTGACAGAAGGACTTTTGCTAGGTGTATTAGTTCGAATCGGATGGAAACTTTCCGGCTCTTTCTTAATACTATCCACACTGGGACCAACACTTTGAAAGGGAGAAGAGGACTGTGAGGTGGTATTCAGATCTGCTTGGGAATTTGGTGGCATTGATGTTGGCATCAGTGGTTGAGAAATTGAGGATGAACTGGAGTAACCAGGAACTTTAACTTCCTTGAGAGACTGCAAGGGGTCAGAAGAGGGTTGTATTGAGTCTGGAGGAATAACTTCTTGTTTGATTTTTAAGTTTTGAGGTTCACTTTGTGGTCCAGAGCCCAAGTACGAAGGCGGCGAAGGGTTCATTTTCCCTTGATGAGGATGAAAATGGGGATGGTAGAAGGAGGAGAACGGGCTGGGGCCAGACAATCCGGATGGGACTGACGGTATGTTTAGAGTCGGTTTTTCTTCTGAAGCAACAGAGAATGCTGGGACGATAATGCCAGACTTATCATCATGATGAGTGTCCGGAGGAGGCTGTCTCGGAGAGTTGGGTGCGTAGGCAGTCAAAGGTAGGGGTGAGAGAGTGGGAGCTGTGAGGTCTGCTGCAGGGGGTCCTGATGTCTCATTTGACATAGAGTCTTCATTAGCCTCAGGTTTAATCGTCACAGTCTGTGATTGTGTCGTAATTGTCCGCTGTTCTGCAGGTGTCTGAAGCGGTGGAGGAGAGTCATTCATCTCCTCCTTGGGCACGAAATTCTCTACCGGCGCAATCATCGGAACTATCACACTCTCAGTTTTCACAGGTTCGAACAACCCTTCTCGTTTCACACTCAATTTTCCAGGCATCGGGATCTCATCAAAGGCTTTCGGCAGAGGCCCGGATCCCGGTGGATCGATGACTCTATCCGAGAGAACCGATAATGAAAAGAAATTGTCGTCTGTTTTAGGTTTAATGTCTGGAATTTTAATTTTCACGTCCTCTTCTGGCACTGGTGGTGAAGGGGGTTGGGGTTGGTTGAATGTCTGATTTTCTGTTGTCGGATTACACTCACTGTTTTGCTCTTCTTTGACACTAACCGGTGTATCCAAAGGCTCTTTCTTAGGCACTCCCACGTTGAATACAACGTTGCAGTCTTCCACTTTGAAGACAGGTAGTTGAGAGTTTTCTGAGAGTGGGGAGGGTGGTGGAGGCGCGTCCTCCTCCTCCTTGACTGTGCCAGCTGGCATATTGTCGTCTGCCGCAGTCTCACACGGAGGGTTACTCTCGCCCAAGTCCAGGTTAGCTGGCTCTGTAGTCTCACTCTCGTCCACCACAGATCCGCTGTCCGAGGTCACACTCTCCGAGGGACTGTCTGGTCGCTCTCTCTTGCGTTTTGTCTCCTCCTCGCCCTCCGCCTCGGTGGGAGGCCGCTTCCGAGGCTTACTTGATGACTCCGTTTTTATTTTGTCAACACACAACTGAAACAGACAAAAGACCTACTGTAAAATAACTTGTTTTGAAGGAACCAATCTTTCAGTTGCCAATTTAATTAGTTTTACAGATGTTAAGTAATTCAAGTTTAACCTCTCAACACTACGTCAAGAGAGATATATTTTACAATAGCGTGATATCAAATTCATTCTTCACATTTATTTTCTTGTTAGACTACTCTGCTAACTTGGAAAAATCATTCTTCCAAATTTTAATATAAAAAAATTTAAAAAATATATATATTAGTATTGCTATTGACTTTTTCCATACAATGTTATTTGTTTTCAATTAAGTAGGCCTACTATTAATCATATTTTTATTATATTACTATCATTTGTGTTGTAAAGCATCTCTTTAACAGATTTCTAATAATAATTTTGAGCCTTAAATGCTACCAACATTACACTTACGACATATAGCACACACACACAAAGAAAACAGCCGATACAATCACATGCACATGCGAGATATACAAAATCAACAACAAATAATACACATCCAGATAAAGAGAATGATATTTCATACTACTATTTTGACAACCCTAATTTTTTATAGAAGCAATCCAATAATGATTCTGATAAAAACAATTAAAAGTTTTGTATTTTGAAAACTAAACATGATAGAAATATTTTATTAATTTACGTAAACCAAATCAGTTTTTTGTGACACACTGAAGTACCTGACCCTAACCACTATCTACAGAAAATGTTACACCAAACACAAAGAAACAACGAGTGTACAAACAAGACAACTTGCTCTACTAGTGTTTAGCATGGTACAGCTTGCACCACTAAAACTATCGACAACATAAGTTATGACACTAGTGTATGTACACAAGAGAGGAAGCACGGGTAAGGACACACACATACAACAATTACTGAACTGGCAAGAGTGTTGTTTCACTGAGTATTTGTTGGTACAGTTCAGGGTTTTTCATAAGTAGGTTTATTGTACTCAAGTTCATGGTGTAAACTATTGCAGTTTGGACTATAGGCCTACCTTTATTTTACATTTAAATTTAATGTAATTTCAACATCTTTTATGAGCTAAAAAATATATAATAAATTTTAGCCTTGTCTAATAGAAAACCAAAATTCAGCTTGACTACTTTCTTACAAAAATCTAGTAAACATTTAAAATTGTTATGCAGTTACCGGTACCAAATAAATTAATAGTTGACTCCTTTTGAAATTGTCCTAATATACATATTTTTTGTTGGAAAGAAAACAGAGCGAATGAAAATAGTTAAATAAGTTTTTAAAACAGTCTACAAAGAATTCACGTCCAAAAATAATCGGAATATTTACATACAAGAATTAAAAAAATTATTATAATTTTGTTTAACTGATTCCATTGTTATGTCCAATTAACTTACATTAAACATACTATATTAATGTGACTACCAATAATCAAGAATAATTGATAAAACACTATTGTACTAGTTTCCCTTGTATTTTGTAACAACACAAAAATGAAAGGGTTTAGGAGTATCTATCAGGAGAATATAAAATAAGACCCAGGATTTATACATGCAACACCAAGGAATTGAAACTTACAAGGATGGACAAATTTGTAAAATATGTTAACATCTTAAGAAATCATTTTGTAACATTTTATTAATTCAAATATTTTGACCAAAACTTTCATTAAAAATTAAAGAATGCATGTTATGTTACAATCAGATCCTTAAGATAATTTATTTTCAATCTGCCATCATTAACATAAAAAAATTTTGGTAATCAAAAACAAAGAAATAAATCAATAACAAAATCAGCATGCTTTAAAAAGATAAAAAACACAATTCAAAAGTTTTGTTTATGAATAGCTTAAGACAATTTTAGATAGCAAAAAGTTTTAATGACTTCATCCAGTCCAAAAGCCACCATTACAATCCCGTTTATATTTCATTATAATTTAAAGTACTAATGAACTTTTTGCCTATATAGACTTAGGCGAGTTAAAAATCCTGTTTGAATTAGAGACATAAGATACCAAGTACATCGAGGTCTGCTGAAAACCAATGACTTCCTTGGTTGGCGTATTAAGTTACATGTTACATATTTTAGGAACAAAACATTCTCTTCTGATTTCTTTAAATTTACAAAACAAATAAAAAACAACATTCTACAACTTGACAACACCACAACCAGATTTTATTGTACTTTTATCTTCAGAATTTGACAAAATCATAAGAAGAATGAAATAGCAATGTTGAAAATTATTTGAAATTCGAACTTGGTTGAAGCATTAAATATCTTTATTTTAACTAGCAAATTTTTGTAATAAGGTTTGAAAATGGGAAAACCACACTTTTGATCATTTAATTCGTTGTGAACATAAGTATTCTGTAAATTTAGAGGTTCGCTTAGTTTTTTACAATTTACTTGAATATTTAGGCCTAGTGCTATTTTTTCAGCGGGGATAAAGGAACATCCACAACACACAAATTCTACACAAATTGTAGGGTTTAAGAGATGGAACACCCTCTGGCGAACACAACAGTGCGACATGCCATGCGCTTGTGCTGTACCCGTTTCTTAGCCCCGCCGGGTGAGTTGCTTCTCTGTCCCGAGCTACTGCCGCCGGACTTCTTGTCCACCTCCGGGTCCGGAGTGTTACTGCCACTGCTGCGTTTGGGTCTGCCACAAGCGCCCGTGCCCTTGGTCGGCTAAACATACACATCCGCACATACTCCACCGCACATACACATGTTCTGACTATGCAGTGTAACAAAATAGCTGGGTTGTTTATTGAGGAGAAATATTTATGGTTGAAATACATTAACACTCTTCCTCAAAAGTTGATTAAAGTAGGCTAAATTTGACCATGCATTGTACATTTGTCAAGAAAAAATAGGATTAGGACAAAAATCTATTTGTCAATTTTTTTCAATTTCTCATTTGCTATTAATTTATTGCACAAATTTCCCTCTTTGTATACAGATAAGACTAGGAATCTATTTTTAATCGGGACAAATTTGTGATAGTTAATTTAAAATACAATTTGTTGTTACTGTTTCTTGCATATATTGGGGGAAATACTCTTCCTTTCTTCCTTTGTGCAAGTTCGGAATAAAACAGTAAAAAATAAAATCATCAAATCACCAACCTTTTCGCTATTACAAGATAAGTTTCTCTCATTTTAGATTGGGTAGCTGATTTAAAATTTTTGAACCTAATTTTGAATTCCATAACCTAGCTTTAGATAAGATTAAGAGCATAAATTTGAGACATCTTAACCAAAATCTTACACAATTAAATACGCACAAATTGGTACTTCTACTAATATCCTGAGTTCCAGTGTAGACCTATACAGTATCTCTAAGAACTAACTAACATTTATAGGTACTCACAGTTTCCTTAGCCTTGTTGCGGGTCCTCATTCGGCCAGGAGAGCCGTCGGGAGAGTCTGTCTGCACGGGCCGGAACAGGTAAGGCGCATCCGACCGTTCTTTGGGCAGTGATCCGTTCTTTGTATAGTGTTGGCGACACTGCTCACACACCAGGGTAGGGTTTTTGGGGCCACAGACGGCCAGCTCCCTTGAACCTACGTTAATCACATTGCAAGTCAGTAAACAAGATATTGAATTTTAATATATTTTTCCCCTATCAGTTTAATAACTGACTACCTACGCAAACAATGACATATTTTATGAAATTGAGATTTTAAAAGAACCATGCAAATACAATTTTTTACTGCAAGAGATATTTTGTTTTAAAAAATACATGGATTGGCAGCACTTACAAGTGATTGAATGCGTGGGAAAGAGGCTTCAGTGCGGACAGAATATTTTTGTATTTTCTGAAAATATTCCGATCTGCGAGATAATTATTTAATTTACTATTTAAACCGTTCAGATTACATTGCTAATATAATTGCATTATGTCAATAAAATATTGCCAGGGTAAAACTTCAGTAATACTATTATTTATCCTATTACGTTTAATAACGCTCCCCTCTAGTAGGTAGAAAATTTATCTTTACTGGATAGTATCAATTTACGGTTTAAAATTAACTACATTAAACTAAACAGCATTAAAGTTAAATACTGACTGGTGGCGAAGCAGTGCTGGCAGCGGTTAATGCCTTGATCTCTGGAGTCTGAATCGTCTTCTGAATTCTCCTCTTCACTACCCGAGCTGCCTTCTCCTACAAAGCAACAAAAAGATTACCTCACGCGTACAGACACAATTTGATCTCCTGATCAAAGTAACCAGAGCAATGATTGTGTCCAAACAAAAAGACTAAATTAAAATTAAATATATTTTCTGCCATACTCTAATTACAGAACAATAGACTAAGGCTAAGATTCATTTTTAATATTGAAATAGTCTAAAACTAAAATTATAAAACAGTAACAGCAGTTACACAGATTATTGTTACACAGTAAATCCCTAACAAAACAAAATTTTTTTTTAAAGTAGTAACCAATTAAACAATATTTTTATGGAATAATTTTCCAGTAAATTTGTTGATTAGTTCAGAGTTATATATTATTTTTAATAGAGATAAACAGCATGATTATTTCATGCTAATCTTAACATATTTTATTGAGACTTGACCTATATATTGAGGATTAGGCCTACATTTTGGTCACTGTCCATTTAGCTTGAGAAAATCAGTCTACAGGCTAATAGGTAAACAGTAAAATAATACAAAACAAGACTGTTATGGAGGAGAAAGGAAGGATACAACTAACTTACCCGAATAAAGAGTCCCAGGAGGTCAATAGAACACATAAAAAGTACACATTAAACTGTACAGTTCGGACATTTTAAACGGTGCCAGAACTGTAACTGCCATTCTACCTTTTACCTCTAAAGAAGCCCCTGAAAGTGGCGAAATATCAGTTTAATGTGTACTTTTTATGTGTTCTATTGACCTCCTGGGACTCTTTATTCAAGTGAGTTAGTTGTGTATCCTTCCTTACTCCTCCATAACAATTTTAAAGCCAAGATGTTTTTTTCCTTTAAAAAACTGATATTATGGTATACTGGGTAAACAAAAAAAGAACACAAAACATAAGACCGAAACGGCACACGGAAGATTTCTCAGGTGCCGTTTGACGACTTTGAGGGAACATTATTACCGCAACGATACGGCATTGAGCCATCGGCCTCGGTGGTGTAGTGAATAGCGTGACGGGCCGATAATCCGAATGTGCCGGGTTCGAATCCCGCTGGTAGCACTAACTTTTTGTCAACATTTTTTTCATATCAGCAAGTTTGGTTGGTTTGGTTAGGTTATGACAGTTTAATTTTATAATTAAAAATTATAAAATTGAATTTTAGGCATTTATAATTATATTTTATGAACAAAACTATTTTTTAGATTAGTAAACCTTCATTAGATTTTTTCATTATCAGCACGTTTGGTCAGTTTGGTTAGGTTATGACAGTTTAATTTAATAATAGAAAAATTATAAAATTGTCTGTTTCTTCAGACGCAGCAGTTAGTGACGTCAAACGGCACCTGAGAAATCTTCCGTGTGCCCCACCGCCTCCTGATATTTCGTCCTGATGTATTTCCAGTATTTCTTCAAACTGACACTTCTCTTCAACCTACTCCCTGAGCCAAGTCCTACATCAGGACGAAATATCAGTCTTAAATGTTTTGTGTTCTTTTAGCAAATTTCCCATATAGGGAATAAGCTAATAAGCTATTACCGTAGGTCTCATGGTAAGACCTAGACCCGGGACCGATTTACTTTTTCGTTTTGAGGTCCCCAGAGGCCAAAAACACCATCCGTTCAAATTCATATATATATTTATATATGTGTCCGTTAGCGCGATAACTCGAGCAAAATTGATCCGATTTTGATGAAATTTGGTACAAACGTGTAAACCTACATTTATTCGAACGAGTTCGCGAACCAGCATAATCGGACCATGGGATCAGGGGTTTATATGGGGTTTTATGGGGTAAAAATGGGTTTTTCTAATTTTTGACCCTAAAAACTTTAAATTTCTAAATTTCTCTCTATACCAGTTTGAAGAGCTTAAAAAAACAAATAATTTAGTATATTGAAGTGTTTTTAAATGTTCATTGACTACGGAGAAAATAAAAAAAATTGTAAATTTAAAATTCCCATGTTTATTCTTATGGAGAATAAATAAACTGCTCTAGTTTGCTTGTTTATGGATATATTTTAATCAAATTTGGCAATTTGGTTTATTTCATACTAAGCTATCAATATTTCAATTGAAAAAAAACACACCTCAACATCTTCCCCGTAGCAGCAAACCTAACTACTCACTAAAATTAAAGTTATTTAAATAGGAAATAAATCTGAAAATGTATAGGGAATATTTTAGTAGAAATCAAGCCGGGTAAATGGAAATTCGCTTAGTATGCAGGTTTGCTGCGACGGGGGTATTTTTGTTTACCTATCAGCCCCTGGACTCTAACTTTCTCAGGTTTAAGCTAGATGAACTCTATTCCTTTTCAAAAAATCCTTACTATACAACTGTCTTTCCTGTATAATAGCCCATTAAAAACTTTAAAATTAAAGTCATTAGTAAAAATTTGTAATAGATGCAATTTCTGTTTTAAAAATTCTGTAAAAGGTAATGTCGAACCAAGTCATAGGTAATATTTATATTTTAATTTTAAACTAAGTTAAAATTCATTAGCTCCAGAATAAATTAAGCTATCACAAAGAAGAAGACCGTATAGCTTAATCGATTAAAATATACAAGGAATGTTGTCAAACAGCTATTTTTTACACATTGATAATTAATCAATATGCCTACTCCAATCCAAATTAATTTATTCAATTTTGATACATACCTACATTTAATTTCTAAAAATGACATGGGACCAAAAATATATTTTGGGGTTTTTAAGCACCCTTTTGTATAAAAAAAATGTGGTTGTAGCACTAGGAGTATTTAAATAGCTGTTCTCGGTCACAGCTATTATTGAAAATGTGAAACACCTGCACTAACTTCAATCACTGTGTAATAACGTAGTGTCGTCGATATACCGATACCTGTAATAGCTAAATACCATGGGTAAACAATCACTTAAACAGTGTAACTTATTAAATAATTCTAACAACGTATTACAATACTTTTAAACTTGCTTTTAACCTTGAAAAATTGAAAATATCTAACGTCGTACCTTGCTCCTTTGGATTAGGTGAGGGTCTGGATCCACCGGTAGCTACAAAAATAAATTGTATTAAGGTGTTGAAATTTTATATAGTGTAAAGCTAACAAATAGTTGTTAAAGGCATAATCAGCATGTCAACCAACTCCCCTACATAAAAGTCTTGTACTAAGTGTCCTTTTGTCATAGTCTGTTCCATGAAGTTCCATGAATTGCAGAAACCATGACTAGATTACAAAATAAATTAAGAGGTTAGGTTTGGAGAGAAAGGGCTAATTGCCTGAGAATAGGTGTGAGAAAGGATAGGATAAGCAGGCTTACCTTAAAAAATGTAGGCATCCCACTTCATTCACTACAGAACACAGAAGAAAACACAAACAAACAAAATAAACACTGGATATTTCGAGGCCACTGGCCCCTTTCTCAACATGGAGAGTCACATTAGATATTAAGAGTCTTTCACTGGTACGGAAGCAGTGTTGCCAACACACTATGAATTTACAAATGAATATTTACAGGTTATGAGTCATTGATTTTATTTACACTTAGTCTAAGCCTGCTTTTTAGGTGTGGAAGGGGAAAGGAAAATGTTAGGTCTATCTGAGATTGAGGTTTGGGGGCTCCCTGGATTTGGTGAACCATTGATAAGAGAGTTCCCATCTCCTTAGTTGTGATGGGTTACAGGTGGGAGGGAAAGATCTTATTATTTTTGAATTGAAACAACTGTTTAAATCTTGCATATTGTGGCTGGTAGCATGAATAGGCACTGGTTTTTCTGGATGGTTGTTTTTAGCGAATTTCCCTATAGGGAAGTAGCTATTACCGTAGGTGGCACGGTAAGACCTAGACCCGGGACCGATTTACTTTTTCATTTTGATGACCCCAGAGGCCAAAAACACTATTCGTTCAAATTTTTATATATGTATATATATATATATAGACATATATATATATATATATATATAAAAAAAAAAAAAAAAAAAAAAAAAAAGGGTACTCATGTTATTTTACATATTATTTATTAATATATATATATATATATATATATACGTCCGTGAACGCGATAACTTGAGTAATTTTTGTCCGATTTTGATGAAATTTGGTTTAAAGGTGTAAAGCGGGATAAACTTGAATGAGTTCGCGAACCAGCACGATCGGACCATGGGAACGGGGCTTTACGGGGGGTTTTATGGGGTAAAAATTGGTTTTTCTCACTTTTGACCCTCAAAACACAAAATTTCCCAATTTCTCTTTAGGCCTTTTTAAAGAGCTTAAAAAAACAAATAATTTAGTATATAAAAGTATTTTTGTTCAATTATTAGTAACGGAGAAAATTAAAAAAATTTTAAATTTTAAATTCCCATGTTATTTTTATGGAGAATATTGTCAAATGTTGTAGTTTGCTTGTTTATGAATATATTTTGATCAAACTTGGCAAATTTATTTATTTTGTACTAAGCTATCAATATTTTACTCAAAAACACACTTTATTAGTTTCCTTGTAGCAGCAAACCTAGGTACTCGTTAAACCTAATGTTATTAAAATATATTTAACTGAAAATCAATTCTGACAAATGGAAATTCGCTAAGTCGGCAGGTTTGCTGCGGCGGGGGTATTTATATCTGTCCTATGATTGTTCATTCATTTAGAACAAGAATGAACAATCATAGGACAGATATAAAAAACAACCATCCAGAAAAACCAGTGCCTATTCATGCTACCAGCCACAATATGCAAGATTTAAACAGTTGTTTCAATTCAAAAATAATAAGATCTTTCCCTCCCACCTGTAACCCATCACAACTTAGGAGATTCTCTCTTATCAATGGTTCACCAAATCCAGGGAGCCCCCAAACCTCAATCTCAGATAGGCCTAACATTTTCCTTTCCCCTTCCACACCTAAAAAGCAGGCTTAGACTAAGTGTAAATAAAATCAATGACTCATAACCTGTAAATATTCATTTGTAAATTCATAGTGTGTTGGCAACACTGCTTCCGTACCAGTGAAAGACTCTTAATATCTAATGTGACTCTCCATGTTGAGAAAGGGGCCAGTGGCCTCGAAATATCCAGTGTTTATTTTGTTTGTTTGTGTTTTCTTCTGTGTTCTGTAGTGAATGAAGTGGGATGCCTACATTTTTTAAGGTAAGCCTGCTTATCCTATCCTTTCTCACACCTAAAATAAATTAAGAGAGTGTTTACATGCACTGTAAAATTATTTGTAACAATATATATGATTGAACAAATATTGCTTTTCCGTTGTAGCTTCTACTTTCAGTAAAAAATTTGAAAAAAATTAAAAAATCGTTCTCTAGCCTTGAAAACTATTTGTAAATAATAAGTACTTAGGCCCTTATTGGCTTTTATTTACATCCAAACTTATGAGGTAGGCCTAGTTCAATTTACGTTTTGCCCAAAAAATTTAAGATTTACATGGTAACAGGTGACATGGCTTACACATGGTTTAATATGTAAACTTTTCAACAACTGTTTTTTATTCAATAATGCTTTAACTTGTGGGTTTGAACACCTATATTCACAAACAGATTTGAATGTATATCATACAAAGAATATAATAATAAGGAACTGTAAGTTGTCTTTCATAGCTAGTAGGTAAAATTTAGTGTTATTTTCCACCCTACTCTACTCAACTCAATAATACTTGTTTCAGTCACATGATTGAAGACTTCCGCGCTCTAAAGGTTTATTAAAGATAGGCCGACTTACCGTTTGTGTCCTGAGATGAGGGACTGTTATTATGAGGTGTACCGCCGCGGGTCTGACGTGTGTTCCGGTTGCGCCGGAGAGAACCTTGGCGTCTGCGCCGGTGCGGCCGGTTGTTGGTAGCACCGGGAGTCTTTTTCCACAGGTAGTAGAACTCCACTAACTCTGACTGTAAGCACAAAAATATTTTTACTTTTTCCATTTTGTGTGAGTCAATAAACAATATTCACTCTCAAAAGCTTACATAATAGTGGCCTACATTGAGCCAATAAAGTAAGACTCTTTTGCACAATTTGCACATTTTAATAAGCCTCAAACCCTGTTTCAGAGGCAAAACAAACAATGCAATTCCCTTTTACTTTTCAAATTTTACACTTGTTTAAAACAGTTATTGGGTGAATAAAACTACTAGGCTAATTTACAACACATTTAGATCTACACTATAAATAGTGATTTACCTTCCTCAATCAGGTTATAATAACTATAAAAAAGTTGCCTATTAAAAATCTACCATAAACTATTATGTCTTGTTCTTGTTGACAATCCGACTGTCTTTAACATTCAACAGAAGGATCAGTTGATCATATTTAAACCGTTATAAAGAAAGTTGGTCAGCATCACTGAATCTTCAAAAGCAAGCCGTAGATACAAATCAAACGCTGGGTGACGCCCTAAATGAAATAACCATTTCGTTACCATTCGTTCCTCTGCTAGATCATAAGCTTTAAAATAACACCTTATTCTTAAAAATCAGTTAAGTAGGACAGCTGAAAAGGGATGTTACTTTGAAAACCCTTACTGTATTAAGTAGACGGATTGAGTTTTTTATAATTGCAAAACTTTATAACATAAAAGGATTTGATGTACACAAGAAGGGGGCTTTACCTATAAAGACAAGCATGCAGGAACTGGTGATAAAGATGAGATAGATTTGTCAAAACAACACTGTTTTTATATTACCAAAAATTGGCAAATTTTAAAGAAACTTACAGTGTCTTTGTGAGGCAGGAGGTCTTTTCGAATCCGAAAGAAGTTCTTGCCGAACTGCCGTAATCCTTTCACAAAGCGTTTCTGGAAAAGAAAATCATGATTGACTATGACGAAAAAAATGAAAGGCAATAAATTTCCTAGGTTAACACGTTCGCTGCTACAGACGTTTCGGAACGTCAGCCGGGCCACGGCGCCAGGAGCTAGGAACGTCAACGTTCATTGTTGTTTAACGTTTCCATGGATAAGCCAGCTCGTCACAAGTGTCCTATATTTCTTTCCAGCTCGTGGGGACGTACTTTTCCGACAATAAAAAATATAGTTTCTCAAATCACCACTAGGGTCGTTTGGAACAGGGCTTTGTCCCATCTCTTTCCTGCTAGATAGCGACACTACTTTACCGACTGCAACCTGGGTAGTGCTGCTATCTATCAGAATCACTTAGTACTATGTCCAAAGCCAGTTTTATTGGAGAACATTGCCATCCTGTATAACTACTGTTGTTTTTACTGTAATTCAGTGTATAGGTGGCAATGTCACGCAGCGGCTGAGCGTTAGTTCAGCTCCTGACGCTGTCCCGGCATCTAGCGGTCAGCAGCGAATATGTTAATGCCAATGTTGTTAACTTAAGAATTGAATTTTGTTACTCAGGTTTCATCTTGTAAACTTTTATTTCAGCTTAGAAACCTTTCAATAGGCTAAATAAGGATTTTTTGTTGTTTGAAAAATATACAACAATCTGCTCTCAAATCATTTTATTCGGATGAAATATCAATTAGATGTTATGTTACCTCAATTGTATAGCTGGTTAAGGTAACTTACCTAAACTCTATCCTTTTGGTAGAAAAAATTCCAAAACCAAAGTAATTGTTTGAGGTTATACTAATCTTACTTTGGTCAATTTCAGGTTTAGGTCAAGCTAATTTTGTTTTTCTTTATTTCTAATATTTAGCATTAGCCAACCAAAATAATTTCTATTACTAAATAACAAATTATGAAAATCATGAATCTTTATTCTAGAGGTAATGACTGTATGTTTATTGCCTATGCATTATTATAAACTTACCGTTTCTTCTTCGCACCACTTTTTATCGATTCCTTTGGGAACAGGACACTTGACTAGTGCTTGTAAAGCTTTTCCTGGGTCGTAACCTGAATCGTGAAGCTGAAAACACAAATCCAGTAGGTAGTTAAAATGCAATTAGGAATAAGTAGGCCTATATAAATCAAGTAACGGTATCCTAAAAAATAGTCATCTCTAAACTATGAAACTTAAAACAAAACATCTGAAAACTAATCACAAATAAACTCACAACATCAAGAGCGTTGATGGTGGTATCGTCTCTGCTGGCGGCCACACAGCCGTCGTCCGCAGACCCGCCGTCACACATGCCCGCAAACGCAGCCATAGATCGAGCTGCGCGCAAGTACATGAGCAGGTCTCCGTCTAGTGCCATGGCCGGCAGCCATCTTAGCTCCTCTCGTTCTTTGCTCAACTCAGGATCACCAGCACTGCTTACTGTGGTGCGATATTCTGGGAGACGTGCCTACGCAACGTTAACACTATAGCAGTCACAGATACAAATGAATCTACTGGGATTAAGTCTTTCAAATTTTTCTCTTTGATTGTGAGAAGGATAGATTTTGAACACAGACACCGTTCGGCCTATTGGCTTATGTTACTTTTTGCGTCAATCGATCTGTGATTTAGTTAGAAACAACTACAGCTATTTCATTCCGCTGGGGCAAATCTTCAGGTCGTAGAACGTTAAAATAAATATGCTTTCCTCTGTGGATGAGTTAGTCAAGATATATAGTGTCTATGAAACATGAAATACACAAAGACAACATTAAAACCGGCACCAATTTAACATGTTCTACAACATGAAGATTGACTGATTGACGCAAAAGGTAACATAAACCATTTTACATTACAATTTTTGATCCAGAGACTTAAACACCATGAAAATAATTATGTTTTTGTACATACGTAAAATGTTGTTTTAAAAATCTTCCAAGAAAACTAGACAACAAATTGATTGTGGCAACTTACTATTGCTAATGCTTACAAAATAATTAAATTACAAATGATACTTGGGCTACAGCACAAAGTTTCTTTTAGACCCACTACTAGCAAAGCTGAACATTGAGCACCATTTGAAGATGGCTACAACATATTTTCATCAACAAAAAGCACCATCTTACGGTCAACAGCAATAAGCTGAAACATTTAAATGCCAAGATAAACAAGTCTGAGTTTGACTCCTCATGATTCCCTAAACCATTAATACAAAATAAAAATAAACATTATTTCCTCAATTTGACTAACTTAACCATAACAATAACAAATTTAATAAGTAGTGTTACCTGATGAGACGGTCCAATTCTAATCTCTCCTTGAGTAGACACCATGACGAACACACATACAGGCCAAGCCCTGAATCACCAGCCCTGCAACAGAAGGACATTACAATGTTCTACATTATCTACTAGTCAATTAGTGGGAAATCATTTAAATGATCACATCAAGTAAGCTGATATGCCACGATCACAAAAAAGGACAATTCATTTAGATTGCTTCCTTAACCATTTTATTTGGCTTTTCTCAGCTGATTTTCAAAATGAATTTATGAGTTCTGGTGAAGCAGCTACTTTTTGACAGTTTTGTACATGGCAGTTCTAATGTCAGTTAGTGTAGTGTGCTATAACATTTAAGTTGCCTCTTTCTCTTATCTTTGGAGTGTATACCCAAACTCAGGAGTATTTTGTCACCCTGAGTCCTATTTTGGAGGTTCCTTAGATGTACCAAAAGTAAGAGGCCTCGAAGGCAATAAAAACGCTTCCAAATCGCAAAAAAACCCAAGATTTTTTTGGGGGAAAGCCCGAAATGTTAAGGATCTAAAAACAATAAAGTCTGTACATACAGTAGGTAGATAAAAGACAAACTATTTTACCATCTTTAAGTTATCTTAGAATAAAAGCAAGTGACTGTAATTTATTACAAAGGAGTGAGTTATTAGTCAGTGAAAGCTACTGACTATTGAAACTCTCTCCCGAAACTCCGTGGGCATGTTCTTTAGGTCAAAGCAAACAAAATATATCAATGAATAATCTCTACAATAAATCATATAAACATATGCCCTATCTCGCTTCGTTTTCCGTCTGTCAGTGTGTATTTATTTTTTGCATAACTTCCCATAACTTTTAAATGACTAAGGTGCGAACTTCAAACTTGGTACGTGTATGATGACTAATAGGATCTATTCTTTTGCAAAGCATCAAGTTTCTACTTTCTACGATTTCAATATGGCGGCCATTTTAATTTTTCAAAGCTTTATAACTCAAAAACCATATGATTTATAAATAGGTTACAAATGACAAAAAGAATGGAAATCTAATTCCCTTTACAGAAATGTACAATTTTTACAGGGTCATTACACAAATAACGGAGAAAATTGTATTTTTATAAAGGTAATACCTGCTAATTTTTTTAATTTGCCCAAATGTTTTGTTTTAACTTTAGAAAATTTTATATTTCCCCCTTATTTGTGTTATGACCCTATACAAATTGTACATTTCTGTAAAGGGAATTAAATTTACACCCTTTTAGCGAATTTCCCATATAGGGAATAAGCTATTACCGTAGTACTCATAGTAAGACCTGGACGTGGGACCGTTTTTTTTTTTTTCATTTTGAGGTCCCTAGATGCCAAAAACACCACCCGTTCAAATTCATATATATATATATATATATTTATATATTTATGAAAAATAGAAAAATAGGGCTACTATATATAAATAAAGATTAAACATTAATAAACTTAGTACCCAAGTAAAATTATTTATTAAAATATTTACTGACTATAGTTTTGGCTCTAAGGCCATTTTCAAAGTCATAGAGCCGAAACTATAGTCAGTAAATATTTTAATAAATAATTTTACTTGGGTACTAAGTTTATTAATGTTTAATCTTTATTTATATATATATATGTGTCCGTTAGCACAATAAATCGAGCAAAAATGATCCGATTTTGATGAAATTTGGTACAAACGTGTAAACCTACGTTTATTCGAACGAGTTTGCGATCCAGCATGATCGGACCATGGGAACGGGGGTTTACGGGGTGTTTTATGGGGTAAAAGTAGGTTTTTCCCATTTTTGACCCCAAAAACAAAAAATTTAGCAATTTCTTTCCAAACCATTTTGTAGGGCTTAAAAAAACAAATAATTTAGTATATTGAAGCATTATTATTCGCCTAATGGTTACGGAGAAAATTTAAAAAAATTGTAAATTTAAAATATCCATGTTATTCTTATGGAGAATAAGTAAACTGTTGTAGTTTGCTTGTTTATGAACATATTTTGATCTAATTTGGAAAATGTTTTTATTTCTTACTAACTACTAACATTTTACAAAAAAAAAAACAGTTTTACCCTCCCTGATGCAGCAAACCTAAGTACCTACTCATTAAACTAATTCTATTTAAATCGGGAATAAATGTTATTTTTAAGTAGACATTTCAGTGTAAATCCAATCAGTCAAATGGAAATTCGCCTAGTCTGCAGGTTTGCTGCGGCGGGGGTATTTGTCATTTGAAACCTTTTTATAAACCCTATGGTTATTGAGTTTTTAAGCTTTGAAAAAATAAAATGGCCGCCATTTTGAATTTATAGAAAGTAGAAACTTGATGCTTTGCAAAAGAATAGTTCCTATTAGTCATCATACATGTACCAAGTTTGAAGCTGGTACCTCAAGTGGTTCCAAAGTTATGGGAAGTTATGTAAAAATACACACCGACAGACGGAAATTGAAGCGAGATAGGGCATATGTTTATGTGACATTTTTTGTTTGTTTTGATCAATGGAACACGACCACAGAGTTTTGGGAGAGAGTTTCGAAACACCCTGTATACTACACTGGAGTACCTATATTGAATGGTGATGATGATATAATCTGAGAGTAGAAACTGGCCAGAGGTTTTAATTTGCACTTTCAACACTAAAGGCTCCTTTCCTGTAGGTCGATATAAAATTGACAATTTGTATAATTTTGAAATGCCATTAATTATTTAAAGATTTTAGTATCAAACTAGAGCTCGCCCCGTGTTCAAAAACTTGACGAAAAGTATGTATTGTGCAAACTTCTCTATTTTCACCACACGCTATAAATAAATCATGTGATTGCAATTTCTTTCATTTGTTTTGATTTTCTCTTTAAATTTTGTTGTTATTTTGTCACCAACATAGCAACCCATAAGGCCCAATTATTTTTTGTGCTTATTTTTTGGGACTATTTTAATTCATAAAGGGACTCTGCACATCTACCGGCAAATATCTTTCTAACAGTGCGTAGATTTTCCCTTCGATGCACAGAAGCTGAGGAAAAAGGTTTTCAATTAACATGCTTGTCTATAAATAGCCTATACAGTATAGAACCAGCCCATATTTTAAATCTCCATAAAAGAAAAGTTTAATTTCCATTTTTGACCCAATTAACATAAATATTCTAAAAAATACAAATAATTTTCAAAATAAAAATAAAACCTGCACATATAGGATCTTCTTTTGGTTCAACCCGCGTGTAATTTGGTCCAGTAGTAGGCCTATGGTCAGGCTAGCTGTCAGTTTTGTCAAACTTTTTTTAATATATAAGATTCTGTGTTATAACAAATCAAATGTGTTTTTGAAGTTGCATCGCAACACATGACAGATCCGATACAGCCCTAGGCAGGTATTAATTGTCGAAAAAAATCCATCCAGGACCAGGGAACTTGATACCGGAACTGGGTTGGGTACTGTTTGATCCAGAGAATTTTTTATGACACAAAATTTAAATACGGTATACGAAATTCAATCACAGACACTATAGATACTCTGATTTTATCATTATAATATCCATCGATGTAATGCAACATATGTCTAGTAGGCCTATAACGTTATATTTTTCTGTTGTCAAATCAGCACACTACCTACTTAAAATTTTAAAAGTTGTAAAATGACTTATTAAAGATTTCTTTGAACTGTAATACCTTTTTAAAAGGTAAATAAGTATTGCTAAGGTGATTGAAAATATTTGTTTTAATTTATTGTGATGTATTTAAGCAAAATTATATTCATGAAAGATAAGCTTTTACTCTCATTTATTTATTTAATTTACGGCAAACACCATTTTTACAATAGTTTTGTATTTGAAAATGCACTCTATTTTCATTGAAAATTTATTGTACTTAATATGTAGGTAACTATAACTTCTCACAACTTTATTCATAAAAAGTAATTCCTGTGAAAACATTATAACATTCTATCCTACATTATTTACCAAGAATTGTTTGATTTTTACAGGCGGCTTCATGTGTAGCAAGTGCTCCAAGGGTCTAGGGTCCCAGTCACACTCAAATTTATTTATTACAAGTGACCTCGAATAGGCTATTACAAGATTTGTCAAGATAGCCTATCATTAGCCAAATATTAAAGCTAAATATTAGATTATAAGACAAATATTTTGTTTGAAGTTCTTAGTTAACAATAAGTTATGACTCATACATAAGGTAGGTACTTCTAGGAACTTTTACATTTGCCCGAATAAAATTTTAGAAAACAAGGTAACTTATTTTACATATAGGCCTACCTAGTTTGTAATTACATATTTAGAGTATTTACTTAAACCTACTACCGTACAGTAATTTGGACTAGCGTTTGCCTCCATCAGTCGGTGTATACTTTTTCTTTTTTTTTAATTATTCAATTCAATTTAGCCTATATTTCAAAATGAATTTTTCATGTTGAATAAACAATACCCTTCTAACACTATTTAATTCTCTTTAAATCACAGTTTGTTTATGCTAGTAAGAAAAAAGGAAGGGGGTAAAATGAGAAACATGTCTTACTCTTTGCCATGGAGCTCGAGTCACAGTTTTCCTGTTGAACAATAAACCAATTATTTTTAGTTACTTCAGGTTTCGATTTTTGTGTGCAAAGAGCTATTTTAAAATAGGCTAGTTAGAACCTATTGAATCACTTCCAGATAAGGAGTACGAACCTCAAATAAAAAAAAAACACATAAAGCTATAACTTATTATTAGAATGAATTGATTATTTTAAAATAAGAGCAAAAACATGCCTACCATCAGTGAAGATTAACTTTAATTATTCAAAAATGTTTTAATTTACTAAAACTCTAGGCTATTCAAGTATGATCATGTAACTTAAGAAATAAAATTTTTTGATCATTGAAAAAAATTAACACTTTTGGGATTTCTTACAAAAAAAATGTTTCCCAAATAAAAAAAAACTTAAAATTTGTACACTAGGCATTGGATTAACAGCAATATGTTACATTTTTGTTATAATTAGACAGTTTTTACAATGAATTTCAAATCATGCAAAGGTATCAAAATGCCATATTTTCATACATTTTACAACTAACAGTTCTATGTTTTTTATGTTTTTT